ACATATATATATAGAGAGATATATATATATATATATATATATATATATATATATATATATATATATATATATATATATATATATATATATATATATATATATATATATATATATATATATATATATATATATATATATATATATATATATATATATATATATATATATATATATATATATATATATATATATATATATATATGCAGTTGTTTAGGAAAGTCACAGCATTTCCTGAATGTGTGTATGGGTTTTGTGGCCGAGTGGTTAGCGTGTCCATCTACTACTCCCACGACCCGAGTTCGAATCCTGCAGCTTCTGCGGGTTCATCCGAGTAGCTAACCCAGTCGTCCTTCCTTTCGGGATTGGTAAATGGGTAGACGACGCATGTTGGCCGGCGAGATGGCTTAGTGGTTCAAATGCTCGTTGAGTCAAACATCCCAATGAAAAGAAAAACCATTGATAACTAATACAAAGTGTTGAAAGTCAATGGTTGCCATTGTCTTAAAAATATATACATATATACATATATCTCAATCCCAAAAGCGTAATCACATACACACTATATCTATTATCGAAATATATTTTAATAAATATATCTATTATCGAAATATGTTTTAAGCAGACGGTTATAAATTTGCTCATGTTTAAATATTATCCATATTACAGGAACTTTCCATGCTCTAACATTCAAAACACATTTTGTTCAAAATGAAAATTTATGAGTTCACTTTAACAAGTGAGTAGCTTTTTAATACAAATTCATTGCTCAGAGCAACGACTTTGTTGTTTTTATTTAATCGGTTACAAAAATGGGTTCCATATTATTTTCTTAATATTTGAAACAAAACATGACACCTCAAGTATGTACAGTTCAATTGTACAAAATGAACGCTCACATTAGCACATAAAACATACGAAAACCTGCAGCTCTCTTTTTAACAAACATTAATTGAATTTAATTAAAAATCTGAAAATATCAATGTCTGTATGAATATTATCGTGAATTTAGAAAAATCACATCTGCTCTAAGGGAGTTTCTAAGATAAACTCTGCCCTGACATCTGCAATTTGTTATAATATATATAGATGTCACATTTTTAGTTTTTATTTAATACAAATATTCATTTGTTATTTAATAATTTAATACAAATATTTATTTGTTATTATTAAATTTATAAGACTAACTCAATTTTTTTTAAATTATCATGAAGAAGTTTGAAAACGTACGAAAAAATATTTGGACATTTATAGTTCTGTATTTAGTTTTTAGCTTCACGCATGAAATTTAAAACAGTTACACGGCTTCTATTTTAGCTACACTAGAAAAAAATTTCAACCTGCCAGGTTCGCTGTCCAGTATTGTCATAAACATTGAAAGTCTAGGCTGTATGTGCAGCGCCATTTTAGTATCCTATTTACTGACTCCAGGTCATCACGTTCTATTATTTGCGGTTTGCATGCTAGCAACTGCATGTTGTGGTTTCTTATATACGTTGCCGCATTTCGTTTTCAAAGACAATCTGAACAAAGATAAGATTGCGATGACGAAAGATTCAGGACAAACAAATCAACATTACGAGACAACAATGTGCAACGCATCGCTCGGCGTTGTCGAAAGTTCCGTAGATTTGTGTATGAATGATCAGGAAGAAGAGACGGACGTAGGTCCAAACTATGTGGCTCTTACGATGTTCATCGTGTCAGAATTTATGGTTGGTGCGGATGGAGCGTGTTTATGGACGGTTGGTATGTCTTTCTTGGACGACAACATGTCCATTCATGTCGTCTCCAAGTTAATAGGTTGCAAAAAATATTTTCAAAATGCATGAAATTCAAATTTTCAACGTATAACAGCAAACCTTCATACTTGCATAAGTGTGGCGTTCTCAGCCAGATTCCTCTCACCCGTCATTGCTTCTGCTCTCGCCAGTATTTTCCTAACTTTGCCGATAAACCTGACAAGTTAATATTTCAGATGTTGTTAGCTTATTGAAAATTAGTAAACATTTGTTTTTCAAAAGATCAGTTAAGATAAAATGCAATTTTTTTGTCAGAAACTTCCTTGACGCCCAACCATCCGAGATGGATACGAGCTTGGTGGCTTGGTTATCTAATTTGTTTCATCATAAACACCATTATAGCAATCCCTACATTTTCTTACCTAAAAGATTTGAAGTAGCCAACACAAATGAAATCAAGCTGGATTTCATGGACGATCGGACAAATATAAAAGAAAAATCAAAATTTAATGAAAATGTCGTCAACAATACGAAATTAAAAAGTTTACACCAATTGAATAATTTTCAAGTTTTACATTGTTGCTCTGTATAAAAAAATAAATATTTAACATTTTCATTTTAATAATAATAAAAGTAAATTTATTATTGTTTCCAGACTTTTGCCTAGCCTTCAGCAGGTTGATGAGCAATCCAATTTTTTTCCTGATGACGGTGGGAAGTTGTTTTGACACTTACTCCCTTCCTTTCTACAACTACCTGCCCAAATACGTTGAAGTTCATTTCCAGCTGACAGCTTCGATGGCGAGTATTATTGGAGGTCAGAAACTTTTTTCTCTTAAAGCACTAATGAATTAAAAAAATTTCGTCAATTTTTCAGTGATGATTCTTTCGGTCGCTGGTGGAATATTTTCATACGTTGGTGGAGTTATAAGTGGTAGGTTCAAACCATCTGTAGACAACGGAGTAGCCAAAAACATGACTTTTGTGTGTGTGGCGTCTCTAGCAAATTTAATAGTTTTGGTAGCTCTCATGTTTCTTCAATGTCCCAACAGCAACTCCCCTTTACGGATATTCAGAACTAACAGAAAGGTTAACAATTTGAACAACTTCCTAAGCGGAGTCCAATTTTATAGTTTTACAAATTTAGCTGTAAGCTATCTCAGTCCTCAAATTATCTCAATTATTTAATATATTCGGTTCCAACAACAATAGAAGTTAATGCAGTAAACAACAAACGTTTGATGAATATTTTTTCAAAAAAATTTTTTTATTAAAAGATAAAAGATAAAATATTTATTCATATAAACAAAAATTTGAATAAAACTAATTTCTCTGAACAACAAAAAAAACCTTTTTGCAGATATCTCGGCATACAATAATCCATGTACGTAAATTTGAGCATGCTGATTTCAAATATGCAAACCGATTTTTTCTATCACGTCCCATTTTTGAAATAATTTCGTTTTAAATTTTGTATTTTAATTTATTATTATAACACATAAGGGATTTTTTTTATTCACACTAAATTTTTATTTCCAGAAAATTTTTACCCAATTTTTAAATATAAACATGAACACGGCTTTAAATACTAAAATAATAATACTTATTTAAAAAAAGATTCAATTGAAAGTTTAATTTAGGTAAAAATTTGTTAAACATGTTCATGGTGAATATTTCTTGACTGTGGAATTTTTCTTGTATTGAGGAGTTGATAAATCACGTTGAAAGGTTCAACAATAGTCTGCCAACATCGCTGCATTCCATCGACCCTGATAGCGTGACTTCATCACTGAAATATCCTGGTGGAAGTGCTCGTCGTGTTCGTCACTGACCGCACCTAGATTTTCTGGAAAGAAGTCTAGATGGGAGTCGAGTAAATGTATTTTCAGAGACATATTTCAAGCAAGATCTTTGTAGGCACTAATGCATTTTTGTACAATATCCACGAAATGCTGCATTCTATCTCTGCTGTCCCATTCGCATAGGAAGCAGCAGTATTTTGTGTATCTTGTCTGCAATCCGTCGGAATAGCTGCTACTTTTAAGTCACAGCATATACTCAAATTGTATTCACGATAACGTATTTTTGGCAGAAGTAATGACATGTTTTCGTAAGTTTCTTTCATATGGGTAGAATAGTCTACTGGTATTGATGCATACCTATTTCTGTTGTGCAACAATACTGCCTTCAAACAAGTTTTTGACGTGTCGATGAACAGTCGCCATTCTTCAACAATATGTTTAATCCCAAGACTCGACATAAGACCATCCACATCTGTACAGTAGCAAATATTATCACTCATTTCAAAATATTGAACAAGAATTTTATGCCTGTGACGAAAATTCGCTGTTGCTGTATAAGGTGCAAGTAAGTTAAATTCATTCAAACGTGAACCAAGCAGCTCTGCTTGCGCTTTTTTTGTCAGTGCTAGATCTCTTACAAGATCACAAAGTTCAGCATAATTAATCAAATGATGTTCTTCTGTGGCAACATTGTAGTCAGAGTCATTTGCAGAGAACGAAATATCACTTTTTTCATGTCTATCTTCATCAACTGTAAATGATGCAGGCGTTTGTGGTATTGGGCAAGCTACAGGATCATTTATATATATTTATATATTAATATATTTATATAGAAAAATGTTATATAATTTATATATACATATATAGGGGTTACAGAAATACACTAATAACAATAAATAAAACTGTTAATAAATTGACCATGTATTGGTCCACAATCTTCTTCTTCACGCAAACTAAATATATAAATTTGACAATATCTCAGCAGTTTGACGTGATAGAGCAAAACGGTTTTCAAATTTGAAATCAGCGTAAAAAAGTGCTACAGAAACAGTCAATTTCATATAAGATATCTACAACTTGTTTTTTAGTGATTTGAGAAAGACCTTTAAAAGACTTGATAAACTTAAATTCATCAGCTGCGCGTTTTTATATGACAACCAAGCTAGTTATTCTTAACTGAATGGTTTATAAAAATTAACCGTGACACAAAGTGTGCTTGTCTGTAAATTTCGACACATTTTTTAATTAAAAATTTCAATTTTTGATTTTAAAAATTCTACTCAATATCTCTTTCATCTCAACTGTTTTTGTGCCATGTACTTTGCATCAATTATTAAACATCGTTCAAATTGTAATGCATCTTCATCTTTACTGCAAAGACAAACACAATTTTTTTAAACTTTTCCTTTTAATTGATGAAATATGAATTGAAGCAGTGATAATTTCTATAGCTCTTAGCAACAACATTATTTTTAAAAATTGAATGATAATACAATTGATTCTTTAGAGTTAACCGTATGTTCTTTAAACTTTTCTGCCATAAAAATCGTAAGTAGTTTTAAAAGTGGAAAATATTTTGGAACAATCAATTCACGTGAATTTGTCATGTAAACAATGCAAAAATATTAATAAAAACCCTTGTTGATGATTTTCCGTTAATAGATACTTATTTTTAACAGATAATTAAAATTTATTATTAACGGATAATTACAATTTATTTTTAACGGATAATTACAATTTTTTTTTAAACGCAGTGTTAATCTTACGCAAGCGTGCAATGAGAACTGTTCGTGTCCTCCAGGTAAGTTCGATCCAGTTTGTGGGGATGACAACGTGTGGTACTCTTCTCCGTGCCATGCTGGGTGCACCACCTACACAAAGGACAAATGATCGATGGTTCGGCATTGTTGTTTATCAAATCAAAACGTGATTATGAAATAAATTTAATTTTAAACACAAAGATATATTCCAATTGCTCATGCGTAAATAGCCCACGACAAACAGCTGAGCCTGGATATTGCGACATTTCCTGCTTTTATGTTCTCGTTCCATACACGATTGGATTGATTTTTTTCTCCATCACGGCCAACATATATCAAGTTTCTAGCACGAATGTCATCCTCAAGTAAATTATTCATTTCTTCATTCATCCATTCATTCATTCATTCATCTTTAACGTTGTTACTTTTAACTAAATTCAAAATATTCCATAGATGTGTTGGTGATGAAGACAAACTATTGGCATTAAGCGTTCAAATCATTATGATTTGCATAGCAGGTTAAAGTTAGGAATTTTACAAAATTTGAACACGTTTGAAACTGATAAATCAGTTTTTGTCAATTTCACATAAAAAGTGAAATAATTATTTATTCTGAGTGAAAAAGACAAAAATTTAACATGAGTAATGAATAAAAATTGTGCTTATTTTCAATTCCAGTGTTTCCTTACTCTCTGATATTCGGACAGATGATAGACTGGATTTGCATTTTATGGAAGACTTCCTCTTGCGGCGATGAAGTTGGCTCCTGCCTGGCGTACGATCATTCCAAGTTCGCCCTGGTCATGCATGCTGCCATGCATGACCAGGAAAAACATAAAAAAAAGTCATAAAAACTGTTTTTTTCTAGAAATGAAATGTAGGAATGATCTTAAATAGGAATAAATAATTTACAAAACTAAACGCAGATTGAAACAGAAAAAAAACATCTTCGTTGAATAAGTAAACGTTGCATGAATAACACGTGAATAACATTAAACCATGGCATTACTTAAAAAATGAAGCCACGAATTTTCAAATTTGTTGAATTTTTATGTAAACGAACGATTATTTTACCTTGATACCTGCAGATCTATATGTCGAAATGTAATTTTGTAAACAATGATAGCCCCCAAGCATAAATGCACACACACCATACTCACACAAACAACACAACAAAGTCACCAATACACACATATATTCATAAAAACCAACACGGATACACTTGTATTTACTTGCATAAATATATCCTCGAACATACATATACAAACATGGGTAGATACGTGGATGTATATATACATACATATGTAGATAGTATATACATAGATACATACATATGTAAAAGATACATACACGAATGCATGTATAATTGATAGTAAAATGCTACACACGTATGTAGAGATATACACAGATAATAAAATGGTTGCACGTATATATCAAAATATTGATTGCTTACCTTTTTAAGTTTTTAAACTGCGACTCATCATAATTGCACTCGTCAGCAACCTCGCGAGACCTGCTAGCGTTTAAAGGCGAGTTAATAATAATTAAGGTGCACCCAAATCGTCAGGTAAGTAGCAAGTTGAAGGAAGCTAACTCTTAGCTAACTCTTTTCTCAGCATTGCAGCAGTAAAAGTTTCATTTTAACTAATCATGTTGATTAATAGCTTTTATTTTTATTAACAATCGTTTCCTAAAAGTTTACTCAATATTGAAAAGTATTTGCTGCTTTTTGGTTTCTTATAACAAAATTTATTTTTTTTCAATATACTAATTTAGCGAGTTTATTTGCTGGAGTACTTGTAATTCATTCTAATATCTTTAGATTATTTTTATTTTTACTTTTGTAATTTTTAACTTGAAAGTTTAGGTAAGAGCATGGTTGAATTTTTAGAAAATTGATTGATTGATTGATTGATTGATTGATTGATTGATTGATTGATTGATTGATTGGCTGGTTGATTGAATGATTGACTGACTGACTGACTGATTGATTGACTGACTGATTGATTGATTAATTGATTGATTCGTTGATTGATTCATTGATTTATTCATTCATTCGTTCGTTTGTCTGTTCATTCGTTCATTCAATGAGTCATTCATTCATTCACTGAACATCTAAATAATTGAAAAATAATTCACTAAATTAAGAATATTCAAACTTAAACAAAATCCAAACTCACGCTCGATAAATATCTCGCCATTTAACATTTAAACCACCAGTCGATATTTTGAATCACTCTGAACGCACACCAACCACGGCAAACAGATGCACCAACGTGACATGTAAACAAACTACAACACACACACACACACCACACACACACTTTGGTTTTTTGATATTCACTTGTATTTTTGGTGTAGATGTTTTGCAGCGCGTTCATGCTGCCCTACGAAATGGTGGGCCTGCGTTTGACAGCAGATGAGGTTGACAATTATGGTCTTAAATAAATTTATTTTCAGCTGTTTCCGACCATTTCATCGGCAAATCTTCGCGATAATATAACATTTGTGTTTTAATCTCTATACAGAAAGGTGTTTTTTCGATTTCGTTCATGTATTTCAGGTTAAGTAATAATTTGATACAACTTGTTTGTAAATATTAATTCATGCTGAGTTATATTTGCAATATTTTTATAAAAAGTTTCCAGTATTCATAATATCTTGCTATAGTTGCTTTGACATCATTTATAAATAATTTGGAATTGATGAATTTTCAAATGTCCGATGAATTATTCATTTACAGAGTTGACAAAAACGATAGAAACATTTGTTAAAAGGTTGAAACGATTGTTTGGTGAGGGATTGACTTTCGCGGTGGGGCATTTTAATCATTCGTTTTATAATCAGAGTGCAATTTCGCTACTGGTCCCTTTATCCGCTGTTAGTTGTTAAAACATATAACGTGTCATTTTAAAACAAAAACTTATCTAATAATACCATACAAAAATAACTGAATGCAATCATTCAATGCTTAACCGGCTAAAAATACTAAATAAAGCTTGCTGAATACATTTTGGCTTCATTCCTGATGATTCGGTCCAAATAAGTGATTGATCCGATAAATCGGCAATCCGACTTTTAACTGTGTATGACATAGATGTAGGGTCCTTATGCTTCAAATGTGAACGTCGAATATTTGTTTCAGCAAATTTCAAAAATTGTCCCCTATATTTAGGAATTAAAATCTTTAAACGACTTAACTAAATTTATCCGTTGGTCACTTACTCTGACTTTATCATTAAGAATGGTACAGTTATATTTTATTCTGAGTCAATTTCATTTGCTTTTGAATTAGTTGAAGTTGTTTGAAAATATTTAAAAATAATTTGGATGAGTTATCCAAATTATTTGGTTTGTCATTTTGCTTTTGTTAAATTAAAGATTATTTTAACACGAGTTTGGATGCATAAGAAAGTTTACGCATTTGATTTATTCAATGAAAGTCCATAATATAAAGTCATTTTGTTTTGTATCTTTCGGATTCAGACGTTTGTTTGAAATCAAATATCGACAACACCGAGGTCAAATCTCTTCTTTGATTCAAACTGTGTCGATTATGTAAAATTCAATACAAATTTTTAAATGGTTTATTTTAGACCAAATTTTTTTAAATGCCAAAACTTAAAACAATGTTTAATATTTTAATAACAATAAAATAAATCCAATTTATTAAATAGAAAATGGAAAATTTAAAAATTGGAAGTTTAATTTATTATAAAATAATTAAAATTAGCTTAAAAAATGCATAAATTAATTTTTGTGATCATTTAAACTTACGAATACGTTTAAAAAAAATTGTTAGCATTTTTTTAATCTTTTAGAAATAATTTAAAAAAGTACATTAGTTTAAATTCTTTAAAAAAATCAAAAAACAATTTTTAGAGATGGATTATATTCGAAATAATGATGAACATCAACAAGCCACATTTTGTCAAAGAGTCACCGTAATGCTCAGAAGTTTTCGAAGAAATATATGGAGTTTTATCATCCTCTACTTAATCTTCAGTTTCACTCATGGCGTTCAAGGAAATTATATCGCTTCTGTTTTGACGACACTGGAAAATAACTATAACCTGTCTAGTTCGCTGAGCAGCATTGTAGTTACTATTGTAAATGTTGGTTACATGGGCAGCGCCATTTTGGTATCGTTTTTTATAACTCCCAACCACCACGTTCGTTTATTTGCAATTTGCATGCTGCTAACTGGATGCTGTGGTTTTCTACACACGTTACCACATTTTATTTATCAAGATAGTGCCAACAACGAGGAAATTGCTGCAATAAATAATGTTGAACAAAATGGTCAACGTTATGAAATGCATATGTGCACGGTATCATCGCTTGCAAATAAAAGTTTAGTTGGTTTCTGTTCTAGTGATAACGAAGATGTAATGGATGTCAGTCCAAACTACGTGGCTCTCGTGATGTTCATCGTGCCTGAAGTTTTGCATGGCGCAGCTGGAGCATGCTTGTGGACCGTTGGATTTTCTTTCCTCGACGACAACCTGCCTGTCCACACTGCTTCCAAAATAATAGGTTCCGTAATTTTAAACATTTGGTTCTTCTAGCTAACAAATATTTATTATTAACATCTACATCCAGGCTGCATGTTTTTGTTGAGGTTCTTGTCGCCCATCATATCGTCTGCCATAGGAAGCTATTTTCTGACTCTGCACACCAGTTTGACAAGTTAAAATATTACATTTATTGTTTTAACTTTAAATCTCACTTATAAATAAAATATAAAAATTAAACTGTTTTTAACAGACACTTCCTTGACACCAAGTCATCCAAAGTGGATCGGAGCATGGTGGCTCGGATACGTCATTTGTTTCATCATCAACATTATAATATCTATTCCGTCATTTTTTCTGCCTCAATCATTCGATAATTTCAAAGCGCAAAAAATTAATTTAGCAAACGAAAAAACGAATGTGTGTCTGAACGGCCTATCGGAATCCACTAAACCAGACGCACCAAAATATCACAAAAAAGATCTGAAGAGTTTGTTAATTTTTAAGTCATGAAAATTTTGTGCAATCAATAAAAATCGTTATCACCATTTTCTTCAGATTTTTTTATGGCTCTAAAAAGACTAGTTTGCAATCCAGTTTATGTTTTGGCAACACTGGGAATGTCTTTTGATTTGTATCTCCTAACATTTTACGCTTATTTGCCAAAATACGTTGAAGAATATTTTCATCTGACGGCGTGGATGGCAAGTCTCATTGGAGGTCCAATTAATTTTAAATTTGTAATAACTTTTTTTTTCAAATTTACTCTTTGTAAAATAATTATTATTGCAGTCATGATCCCCTCTCTTGTCTGTGGAATAGTTTCATATATCGGAGGTATCATAAGCGGCAGGTTGAAACCTTCCGTCGATTCTGGAGTTACCAAAAACTTGTCATTTGTATGTGTAGCTTCTGTTGCTAATTTGTTCATAATGCTGGCTATCATGTTGCTCCAATGTCCCAATGAAGTATTTCCACATGGCTACTCCGATTTCACAAATAGGTTACAAATTTGAAAATTTATTTGGCGTAGACTTGTTTTTTTAGAATTTGGTTCTAGCCCGAACTCATTACTTATTTATAATGTCTTCAGATACATTGGCTATTACAAGTACGTAAAGTACATTTTCTCCTAACCTCGGCCAAAGGGGCATTTTTGGGAAAACCTAACCTGTTTTTAACTTGGACGTGTTCGGTCCCTTGTGAGACTCATTAATAGCCAGGGTTAGAGTAAAAGTTTAGTGCAATTCTTATCTAATTAGATAAAGTAGCAAACTAATGTGTTTTTTTGGTAATTCAAAAAAACTTATTTTAGTCGCTAGGGAATCTGGTAAAAAAAGTGAAAAATGAAAAAGTATGAGTGAAAATAGCCTTTACCTAATTAGATAAAAATTGCACTAAGCTGTTTTTTTTAACTTGTGCTACTAATGAGTTTCACAAGGGACGAAAAGATTCTAGTCTAAAACGACTTAGGTGTTCACAAAAATATACCTTTGGTAGTGGTTGGGAGATGGTGTACTTTAGGTACTCGTACTGGCTGATGTATCTGATGACAGATCAACTATTTTCACTCATACTTCATACTCATTTTTTCAACATAATTATGTATATATTTTATATATATATATATATATATATATATATATATATATATATATATGTTGATATATATATATATATATATATATATATATGTTGGTAATAGACCATAATTTTTACAATATTCTATAAATTCTACAGAATGTTTGGCGTTAATATGTTTGTAGTTCGTTTTTTTCGATTTTTCTCACTAAAGTTTTTTGGTGAACATTTAGTTTATTAAAATTCAAAATAAACTTATTTTTCGAATTCATGCTGCAAATAAGGCCATATTTCGATTCCGAATGAATCATCATCAGTGCTCCTTGCTGTATATATAGGGAAATATTGAATTTGTCAAGATGAACTTTGACGTTTTAAAAATTAAATTTGGTGTTATAAAATTGAACTTTGATGCGAATTAGGTATCAGGTTTCTTTATTGGCTGGTCATCTTCTTTGGTCTCCTTTTCTTCATCGATAGCATCATATTCTTCTTTGAATAGTGAATAGTAAATAGTGACAAAGAAGAATATGTGTGTGTGTGTGTGTGTGTGTGTGTGTGTGTGTGTGTGTGTGTGTGTGTGTGTGTGTGTGTGTGTGTGTGTGTGTGTCGATGGTCTTTTACTTTATTCGTCAAAAGTTTTTTCTTTCCATTCCTACCTTTTGAAAATGATCGCTCTTAGTTGACATCCTGACTGATTAATAATAAAATAATTCGAGTGGTTGTTATGATGAATTTTTTAAAAAACGGAAATTGTTTCTGCTGTAAAGAAAGTGTTTATTTCCAAAGGAAAATGTTGTAACGTTGTGCTAATTGATTGAATTTTTCAGTTTTATCGCAATGCGCTCATCAAATGAAAGTCACTTTGCTGTAATAAAAAGTAATTAATATCTAAGTTCGATGAAAAATTTTCGTGATGATTTATAATAAATCTAGAGGTTTTGTTCATTGTAGTTTTAGTCTTACCGAAACATGCAATGAAAACTGTTCGTGCCCCTTGAATTCATTTGATCCCGTATGTGGCAGTGACAATGTCTGGTATATATCTCCGTGCCATGCCGGATGCACGAACCACGCAAACAACGGATCATCGGTTAGCATGTTTATCCATTTTTTTTTAATTAATATATAATTAAATGAATATAAAATATTAACTTTCTGATCAAATTTTTAATTATGAAAAAATAGATATACAGTAATTGTTCGTGCGTAAGTAATGAACCACAAACCGCTGAGACTGGATATTGTGACAACTCCTGCAATCTCATTCTCATCTTGTATACCATCGGTTTGGTTTGCTTTTTTGCGGTCAATAACATATACAGTGTTTCCGCTACAAACGCAGTTCTCAAGTAATATTTTGTCATTTAATTTATTATTTAAAATTTGTTTTATTTCAGCATATATTGCCTCCAAACCATGCTGGTTAAATTGTTATCAGGTGAAAAGACTGGCCTTGCACGAGCCTCCAAATTGTCAATACTTTGACTTTATTATTCGGGTAAATTTCCATACTCGATTTGATGGTAACATCAAGCTTTTTATTCTATTCTATCGTCGGATATTTTGTTGTTGTCTTGTTTATGTATTAAGTTATATTGAAATTTTTGTCTCCTGCCCGTTCCATTGTCTTGGAAGAAAAGCGTTTGTCTGTTTTGAAACGATTGGGATGAATATTATTTAGCTGAACTTGTTCTCAGCTTTCTTATTCTTGAGGCACCTGACTATCATCTTGATGTAGCTATGACTATATCTATTTATTACAAGTCGTGGTCAACAGTAGACTAAGTTGTTTCATTTCATTCATTGTATAACATTGAATGTCGTTCGTACTGTCTCGTTCACTAAGCAACATAATGCTGAATACAAGTCAGTTAAAAAGTATAACAAATTTGAAATAAAATATAAAATAATGCTTCCTTTGTTGTTGATGCTCGAAAGCATTTTCTAGTAAGTTAAATATATCAGTGCCAAAGGTTATACAAAAAATTCCATAAAAAATTACGAAAAGTAATCAACTGCATCTTATATAGAGACTCAAAAAATGGTCTATTAAAATTTCCCAACAAGACTGACATTTAAATTTATTTGTTTTCAAGATTGAATCATTTAAAGTATCAGTTAATCACACATAATTTGCTTTTGTGAATATACAAGTGACAATTTACGGAAAATTATAATTGAATTTTCCTCAAATTGAATTGCACAAAAAAGGTTTTATAATCCAACTTGACTTAACCATTCTTCTTCACGTATTCAGTCTATTTCAATAAAAAATAACATTCCAGGTCACGTTCAACTAATCTAATTTTAGACACTAACAACCCATCCAATAACCGTCCGATTTTAAGTTTATATTTATGTCCAAAGTCAATGAAAGAGTTGTTAGTATTTAATTACATGACGTCTTGTTTAATAATTTTTTTAAACAACGCCAGCCAGGATATAAGACATTGTCGTCTACTAGAACATTCTATGTCAATTTGTACTTCATCTGAACTTTGGAAGTGTGTAATAAAACTTTAACTTTTATTTATAACAAATAGGTTTTGGCGTACAAGAGCCATTGTTAAGATTGTTAAAGTTTATTATGTTTAGCATCAGCTTGTGAGACACAATTTTAGTTGCCACGATTTTGCTGATGATATCCAACTACTTATATTCCTAATCCATAAATTTACTTGTCCTACAAATGTTTAATAAGCAGCGCTTTTTGAAATGTTATTAAATGGGCGCCCAACAAAATTTTTTATACTGCTACTACTAATATTAAATTTTTTTTATACTATTACTACTACTACTGCTACTATTACTACTACTACTAATAATAATAATAAATAGGTGCGTGGATGAAAAAGACAAATCTTTAGCATTAGGCGTGCAACTGGTTTCAATTTCTATAGCAAGTTAGTAAATAATCTTTGGTTTCAACATTTTTTCAATTTGGTCACCATCAACATAATACTGGTATTACGGTTAAAACCTGTTAAAGCCTTAAAAAAACTACATGTTTCCAAATTAAAATTCCTTTCAAAATAACAGAATTAAATTTTAAAATAAAATTTGTTTCAGTCACTCCTTCTCCGTTGTTATATGGACAACTGATAGATTGGGCATGCATCTTGTGGCAAACATCATCGTGCAGTGATGCCGTTGGTTCCTGCCTGGCGTACGACAACTCAAAATACAGACTGGTTATGCACGGAATCACAATGCTTTGGCAAATAATTTCAGTCATATTTTATTCCGCAAGTTTATATATCTCGTGGAAAAAATTAAAAAAACTGAGAACCGAAAAAATGGTAAACGTTGCATCCCCTAGTAAAATTGAAACCTAAAGGCATATTTTATTCCTTAATGTAGTGCCTGTATGTTTATTTTAATAAGAAAATGTATGTAATGTTTGTATAAAAGTAAACTTTGAATACAACGTATTCTCATTTTCTAACCCCAGCACCTAGATGCAGGTGTTGGTCATAAAAGCTGATTCGTTGAGTAGTTACCTTTAGTTTTAGGTAAATTCTATCTATTAATTTGTTTCTAAACAGTCATTTAAATAAACATTTTTCAAAGCCATCTTAATCAGAAAATATCAGAAAAAACCTCTGGTCTTATAAATGGCGCTATACATATACTCAAATAATAATAATAATTATTATTATATAATATTATTATAATAATAATAATACATTGTTTTAATATCTGCTTGTTTTGTTTTTCAGTTTTTTATCATCATATTCATTGTTTGTCTGTTTGTTGTATTTACATTTGGGTGGTGGGATTTGGTTTTTATTATAATTCTTGGGATTTTTTTCTCTACATATAATTAACTCGAAAATTTGTGAACAAATTACAAACTTAACAAAAACGTTTAAAATTTTTTTCAATCCATTTCTTTTTTTCTTTTAAACAAATGGTTTGAAAATTGTCATGAGTCTTAATTTATACAACGTAGCGTCTAATTAGCGGTGAAAATGGTTGTTGCAAACCAGTTGGAGGTCGTACATTTTATGGTACTTGAGTAGCACGCTTGATAAGTGAAACTGCTTAAATTTGAATACTGAACAATTACGTTAATTTAATAGAAAAAAACGCATTGATAAGGCGGCTACCCATTGAAGTTCAATATTAATATTTATTTTCAGCTATATCAAATTTAGTGTTTAAGAGCAGATGAAAATCGTCGTTGTGCAATGAATTGCATTGCGTTTTATTGTATGTATGTGTGTGTGTGTGTGTGTGTGTGTGTATGTGTGTGTGTGTGTGTGTTTGTATACATACGTACGTAACAACTCCAATTAAAAATATCTCAAATGTTTAAAAGAAATAGAAACAAAAGTTCTTAAAAGAGACAGGCAAGATGTTTATAACTGTTGGTCCTGTCACATCATCATTAGAGGAACCTGTGTGCAGGCACGAAGCTGGAACCAGCAGCAAATTCACACTTTATGACCTCAAATTTGTTCCAGATGGAGGTGATTGCTTTTTAAAACTTTTGTACTGTGTGCGTATGCAAGGCCAAATTTGGAGTTGTGGAAACCCTAAGGCAAGATGGAGTGGAGGACCCTACTCACTTAATTTACAATTTTTATGACAAGATTCATATGATGAACGGTTTAAAAAATTGACACATTTTGTTTGCTTGCTCGTTCGGCATATTTTTAAAACTGCTTTATATTGAAATCATTGCCCCCCCTCTAGATCGCCACCTCAAAAATTGGCTATGTAAATTCAAAAAACGTTATGTTTGCTGTTTGTGGAGACCTCATTTTGGAGGCCATGGGGCAGTAGTCCTGCTTCTCCTGCCCTAAAGGTCACGTAAGCCGTTAGTCGAATGTCGGCATGTATGAATGTGTGTAAATATTTGATGTGAAGAAAATATTTTCGGCTGATTGAAGTTTAAAAAATTTTCAGATGAAATGATGCGAGTGATTGAATGATCATTAATTTCCAGATGAACTTAACATCTGCCAGTTGGTAAAACAAATATTTCATATTGTTTTTGAGACATCACATCTTTCCTTATTGAAACGCATCTTTAATTTCAACGCATCGGTTTAAATACATATGTTCAAAAAGTTTTCTGAAGAATTGTAAATTCTATCATTTGCATTTCACACACTTAACACACAAAGACACACACACCTCCACACACACGCACGTAAAAAGTTAAATATGCATATTTATGCCAAATATTAAAACAAACATTTCACATATTAAATATTTTTAATTCTAGAAAAAGATGACCACAAACAAAGTAAAAAATGTATCGACTAATTTATTTATGTACCTACGTGTTTAATAGCTGGCGTATTTGCAGTTTTATTTGATGATTAATGAAATTTTAACGGAGAGTGGTGTCTCTTATACATATCAATTTATTTGTATCCTCGTTCAAACGTATAACCAGCTTTAATTAGTTGAATATATCTTCACAGCTCTATTATGTTGTTTCAAATGTATATAATGGTATATTTATTTATTCATATTTTATATAAATATGTTCCTTTTACATTTGTATCTAAGTAATCTTATATTTATATATTTTTAAATAGACATTTTTCGATTGAAATAAATTATCTTCAGTGCAGATGATGTCTATGTAATTAGTTTGAATAAGGAGGAAAGTAGCTTTGTATATTGAAGTTTTTTAGTGTTTATTCTTCGTTCTCATCGATGCTCTTTGCTGGGGTTAGTAGTTATGCATCGAGTTAGAAGTGATGTTAACATCTTTTGTGATATGTTAATTGTTGGTTTCTTGATGTCAATGTTTCTGAAGACGGCTTCTACAATTTCGAGATGTGTGAAGTTGGTGTTTTAAAACATTATTTTGGGTTGCCATTGAGGATTTTACCAGTTGTCATCAATTGAGTGCGTGTGTGTTTGTTTGTGTGTGCATGTGTGCATATGTGTGTGTGTGTGCATATGTGTGTGTGTGCATATGTGTGTGTAGGGGAGATGTGTTTTGATATTTGTTTTGTCGTATGATTCGTTATGTAGAGCGTTTCAAACAAAAATAACAAAGACACCTCCCGAGTTGATACTCCACTGTTAGTCTGGCTCTGGACAGCAGGTGATGTCGACAATTACGATCATTAACATTTTTACTTCAGCTGTTTCCAATCGTTTTAT